GACGGAGAAAAGTGGAAGGAGTTGCGGGATGCCATTTCCTCATTTTGAAAACATTAACACTGTTGGATTTGGATTAATAATAAACAAAAATCGGATTTTATACCATTAGCACACCTTGTGGACACATGCCAGCACCTCTAGCCTCTCGAATTTTCATTCTGTAAATTAGTTCCGTTTCTCATTTCAATCAATGTGATTAGATTGTATTTATGATTTACCAAAATTCTTCAGAACCATGAAAAATTTCATTGATAAAATGTGTGTGGTTTGGAAGAAGTAAATGTTGAGTGTGTGTGTGTCACGCCATGCCGTCACTACGTGCTGTGCATCAATTGCACAATGCACAAATGGAAATATCACTTGTGGTTGCACATCGTAATGGCAAAAAAAAATAACAAACATCAAACAAAGATTTGCAGATTTGATAGCCCAAGAGATTATAACACCTTGACCCGTATACATGTGTGCTGTTGAAGGCGGCAAAAATAGACACATAGTCGCTTTACCTCCTCGTTCGTTGTTGACAGTATAAAAATGTTGAAAAAAAAACATGAAAATAATAGGTCGTTAAATGAGTCGAAGAGATTTTTTTATGAGGCTAGACGATGGTTTTGCTGTCAACCGCTGTGCAGGAGACGTAGCCACAGTTGACAAACTCACAGCATTTTTTCCGAACGTGCAAACAGGCTCTTTGTTACTAAGTACGTCTAATTTGGATGTAATTCTATAATTTGTGCACTACCGTCTCGATGAGAGCCCAGAATGTGTGGCAACGTTTTCATTTTTACGTCTTCTTCCTATCGGATATGGCCTATTGTTTTGGTTTTTATCTCAAATGGCATCGAAAATCACTAGGTATCATCAGGTGATATATATTTCTCTACGTTTCTTGAATGTGCTTAGAGCCATTGATAACAAACTTGATGTTCATGATGCAGACGAGACTTTTTCGAGTCTTGTGGTTTTTTTTTTCATTTGTCAAAATCTCAGATTTGAAGGTATTTAAATGTTTAAAGTTCATTTCTTAATTAGTTGTGTTAAATGAAAAATTACCAGGCTTTAAATCGAAAACTAAACGAAAAAAAATAATTTGGATCAAAATCAGTCTGCATTCCGGTGGAATAATGTTGTTTTCACCTGATCTTGAAACGAAAACAAAAACTCTTTACACTTGAGAGCACTTTTTTGAAGATTTAAAATTATGCAAATCATGCAGGTAAATTTCATCCTTCTGAATGAAAAGTGAAACAATTTTGCTTCGTCTTCCTTTTCGGAACTCTTTTTTTTAGTTGTGAGTTTAAAATTCTTATTTTTAATACATATGTACATATATTCAAAGAACACTCGATTATCGAGGCAATAATCGAATTTACAGGAAAAGAGGTTTGTTTATTGGTTCGATCGAGTGCATTAATATGAAAACGATTACACGCGCGTTATATTTCATTGATGCGTAACACATCAAATAAACCACTGTCTGACATGCACCGGAAAGTTCTGATTGGAAAATTGAATGTAAACGAGAAGATCTGATTTTCCATTTCAACACGTTTATTTCACTTGAAGAGACAGAGAGAGAGAGAGAGAGAGAGAGAGAGAGCTCTTCAAACATTTAAATTAGGAATTGACCGCAAACACAATATTCATTCTTTTTTTTCTTTGATTTTGGGTTCGATGCACAACTGCCGATGCGCATTCATAAGCACTTGCCGCCGTGGATTTGTGTTTGTTTCATTTTGTTGTTTACCTTTCGGTTTTCTTTGCCTTGTCGAGGCAACTTGATTAGTCGCAATCATCGCAGCTCTGTGTAAATGTCCATAAAGAACATAACGTCTCGGGTGGACGCACGGTGGAAACAATTGTGTTAGCATTCTCCATAATGTACCATATAAAATGTTTATTTAAATTTTGTTTTGATCATTCTTCCTTCGGACGATATATTTGAATACTCTCAATGTGTAACTTAATCGCTTGCGCTTTCATGCGCTAACGCGCACACTGATTACATTGATGTGTAACCATTTCCATTGGATTCAGTTAAGGCAGGCGATCAGTGCACGGGCATTAAACAAAATCAACCCGAGTGCCGCGCGAATCGAGAGTTTAATGACGATGCTACTTTTACTGTTAAGGATGATTTTATTTCGAATAATTATGATGTTAAGCGTTTTCATGTCGGACTCGAGCGAGATGTGTGTACATGTTATTGGAACGAAATAAAGCGCAACATAAATCGCTGTGTGTGTGTGTGTATCTTCAACACACAGCGACTATTCGATTAAAATCCATAAATATTCATATTTTATTGGTTCAGTGCTGAACCGACGCAAAAATCATTTGCCAAACCAAAATGCGTTCATTCATTTTGATTGGTGATTCCGTTTCGACATCGGTCGAAATACGCCAGCATTCGAGTGGAAACGAAAAACAATAATCCAACGTGCAATGTGGAGAGAAAAAAAATGTTGAACGTAAAAAAAATTATTGACTCAGGCGTGTGCTAAATTGGAGCCAGTTTTTATGAGCATTCCAATCAATGCTGTTTGAGTTCAACGAATGCTGCACGATTTTTTCCCTCTCAGCACAGTTTAATCGTTGTCATTTCAATTCTAAACATGTCTTGAATGCCCCATCATAACTTAAATCGATGCTATTTTCGTTTGCATATTCATCATATCATAGGATGCGGGTAATCACTTCTCATCCTTTAATGCGCCTGAACGATGTGAGTGAGTGAACAATGGAATCGATATAATTGTCGATTCACTTGAGGTGTGTATAAAAATAAGCTTGCTCGCTTATGCAGGTCTCCTTTAATGACTCCTCGGCCAACGCGAAGTGCCATTGATTCTCAGCTAAATTTGCTGACGTGACGACGGATGGTGAAAGAGGATGATCAACAATCGATTGAAGAGATCGTCTCAATAACTAGCTGCAAATAAATCGTCCTGAATGAGAAAAAAAAACTCAACTCTTCAAATCGTTTGATCGTTTGTTCGTTTATCGTTGCAACATCCAGTTAGCCGGAGCCCGCGGTACAATTAGAACGAAATTGACGAAATAAATGATCGTCCATTGAATAGGCTGCAATAATACGAATTCGAAATTACTAAGTTTTCGGTTGTTTTTTTTTTTTGCGAGAGATTTGAATCTCATGATGCAACCGAAAGTTTGATGGAAAAAAGTGTACACGGTCAATATCAAAGGCAGCCGAATGAAACCGAAGCAAATAATTGACCATCAGAATTAATATAGTCTCAACGAGAACGACCAAATCGAGCGAATATGAGACGAGAAATGATAATAACAATAACAACAACCACCACAACAACAGCAGCAGCGGCGAGAGAGTGAGAGGAGAAATCGCGCGAGCAACGAACATGGAATAAAAAGACGCGTCAGGCAAACACGAAAGTGTGATGAGCATTAAACAACGGGGCAACTCGTTCAACAATCATCAGCATCATTTGTTTAGACTCGAAATATGTGCAGGCACGTTCGTATTCAGTTTCGTTTCGCTGGCAAAGTGTGTGTATGTGAATGTGAATGTGAAACATAATAATAATCAGTGCAAAGCACAGCTCTTTTCACCGTTCATTTGCGTCAAATTCATGCTTTGAAGCATTTGACGGGCTTCTATCATATCATCATTTATTTACCAAGGTACTATAATCGAACGAACGGACGAAAGGAAACGAAGCTCAGTGAAACAGAATCACACTTGAGCTAGTTACGTGAGCAACGTTTTCGTCGTTATTTTCTTCGCTGATTTCTTTGGAAAAAAAAAACAAGGAGAATGCTTAAGCATAATAATAAATGATGATTCGTTAACTTCTTCTGTGTCACGGTTAGTGATCGCAAAGTATGCGGCAGTACGTATTTCATCGCGAGCTCCATATGCTCCTTGGCGTGGAGCAATGGAATAACAAATCGGAACAAATGTCAAAGCAGCTCTTTAGCAAACGATTCCTAATTGGTCAATTTGCTTTTAATTAATATATTTTTTAAACAACAACGCAATGACGACGATATGACCAGGGAGTTTGTTTCTGTTCGTTCCACAGGCCAAATTAATGACAAACAAGCCATTCGAAATGGGTTCGTTTACTTTATGAGCACGCAAAAACCATTTTCGGATGCGTAAAGAAACATCGCTCGTTTTTGACTTGCATGAAATGAGTTCGCGCTCATCGCACAACAACATTTTTCGGTGTCGTTCTCATGCCGCAAAAAATGACACAAAACCACACATCTCCACCTTTGATGTTTCCACGCATCCGACACCAAAATAACGTATATCGACATTTAATTTATAACCAGCAGCCTCAGAACAAGCCGATCGCTTTCTTGTTTGCATAATGTATAACAAATGTCCATTGGTTAAATGCTATCAATTATGTAAAGTGATGCTGATGGAGTGCTGAACTCGATCGTGCTATCCAATTTCGAAGGCGTTTTGATTCGAATAAGAAAGAATGAGAGGCAGACAGATATCATAACCGATTTTATGCGCGCACTCATTTGCTATAGTCTTTAATTTATGCAGAAAAAGGAGTTGTAAATAATTTGCTGCTGTGTGAAGTTGAGAAGAGTCCTGCCACTTTCACACCGAATCCATCTCTATTTTTACATCCAATTTCATCCAACTCCATTTATACGATGCAAATAATTAAATTTTTCGCCAACAAAATACTCGAAATTTACGACTTTGAGCTGGAATTCAATGCTAATCTTAGTTACTCACGCAATCAATCAAACTAATGAAGTCATCCTTTAGGTTTTTAATTAATGAAAGGAAGGGGAATGAATACGATTCGAACGATTTTTTTTAAATAAGCAGAAAAAAAATAATCTAAAAATCGCACAAAAAAAAAAAAACAGGAACGAAGCCAAAAATGTTTGAAAGTTAAAAGAGTTGAAAAGAATTGAGAAATCTCCAAAAAAAGTGCTGAAAATGTAAATAATAACGTTGAGTTAATTTTTCAGGAATATTTGGCAATTGTACCTTTTTATTCGATACGTCTTACGAAGCTACAAGTCGATTTAATTTACATAAATAGTTTCTCTGGCAAAGTGTTTCTCATATAAACAAATATTTTAAATCTACAACGAACAATGTTTTACTCTTCTCTAATTAGGTAATTTAAATGTGTCACTGGCGAGCTTATTCAGTGCAAAGTGAATCGAACAAATAAATCGAATGAAAATATTGTGCGTAAAAAAAGATTTTTTTTTTTTCACAGTTGTTCCATGTCGAAATCATTCGTTCTTTACTTTTAAAGGCACGTGTTTCGATAGAATTTGTTCGCTCTCGAGCTTAGATCAATAGAAGGCTGTTACGTTTATAAGTACATGTTGGTCTTAAAACTTAAACAAGAACTACGCTTCAACAAATGCAATTGTTTTTAAACTTAAGGTTAACGCGATTGTACTAAATTGAACGAAACTTAAAATGCAAAGAAGAGGTAATTCTTATGGAATGACTAGATAACGTCTTCATCATGCGTTAACAATGTCGCACATAGCAGTTCATATCGCGTCGAAAAAAAAAAGTCCCGTTCGACATCGAAGTGGACGATTCATCTTCATGATTGTTTGTGTTGGATTTCTGGAAGAAAATAAAGAAAAATCATGGTTAATTAGTGAATGGTATTTTGATTGTTGTGTAAAAAGTTTCAGTTCAGTTCACAATATGTATTTGCTCAAATGATTTATCGTTGTGCGATTACGAGCAGTAACCGTATAGTAGATCATATTCGATGCGTTTTTATCATTTATCAAAACACGAAAAAAAAAAAAACGCGAAATAATAAATATAATAATAAACATTTTGACATTATTATCAGTGGAGTTGGATGCAATGATATTATGTAAAATTGAATGCAACGGCAGCCGGTTTAATGAATGCTGTGTGTGAGTGCGTGTGCGTGAGCGCGCGCGCGCGCCTGTTTTACGATTCGAAATGCTGGCGAATTGTCGGACAAAAAGAAGCAATGAAAAATCAACAGTGTTCGAACTCTGCACTTACAGCCAGAGCCTTTCCATGTCACTCCAACAAAAGAGGTCTCAGTGCAACTGAGAGTAGAGAATCTCTTTCCGATACCTGCATGGCACCATACGATCAATGAATGATAAATATTGAAACATGTTATACGATCACTGCGCGTACAAACAACAACAACTCTCGCACGCTCACTCTGTTTTACTCGCTCTCTCGCGCACGCTGACCAAGTCAAAACAATTTCTTTTTATTTACCCGTCGTTCTTTGGCACATTCAATGATGTGAATTTTGAAGTTGCTGCTGCGTTCGTGTTGTGTCGCTTTTTTTCCTGCGTCGCTCGCGGATCATTTAATAGTTCTTCTTCCGAAGAGCTGTGAATCAAGTGCAATGTGCGCTGCGCGCATAATGAGAATAAATGCATATAAAAGTCTTGGGCAGCAGCAGTAACCACGGTAAAAAAAATATAATCTGGTCGAGAGCCAAAGCGAGAGAAGATAACATAAAGACGAAAGATGATGATGATGGTGTATATTTTTCAAGAACGCGATTCGGGTAAAAAAAAATGCGTTCGCTTCAGCATCAGCAGCAACGACAGCGCAGAAAAAAGCGACGAGAAGAAAGAAAGCAAAAATACAAAACCGCACACAAACAGCCACAGCTTCAGTTCGAACTTGTCGTTCGATGTGAAAAGGAAACGACAGCAAACAAAAAGCAGGCTCTCAATTGAAATTGCTCGTGATATTCTTGGCGCATTTGTTTTTTCTCTCTCTCTCTCTCTCTCCCTCTTCGCTTGCTTCATTTAATCACCGTGTGTCGACTGTAATTCAGTTGTACACTGTGTGTATGTGTGTATCACACGGCATTGACTCCCGATCACTATGATCGAATCTCGCTACTCCATCATTTAATCATAGTTTTGCGTGGTGAATGAAATGGGCCGCGTCGCCAAGAGAGAGAACGCACAGAATGAATGGGAGGATATTGAAAACGGTATGTAAAAATGATTAGCAAATAGAGCTGGCAATGCAAGCGTACAGCCGCACTACAAAGGATTCCAACATTTTGAAACGAATTGATTGATGTGCGTCGGATTTCTTGAGCTAGGGCAGTTCTTCGATCGTTTGTTTTTTTTCTCTATCTCCGGTGTGTGTTTTTTTTTGTGTGTTCATTGAATAAAAATCGTGCTGATGCGTATTCATCGATATATTAAATGGTTTGAATGATTTTCATCTTGTGGTTTTTGATCGCATTGAAATTGATTGATTCGAATGCACTTCTCATCAAACTTTTTGATTTTCTCTTATCGCTGAATTGAAATGGTTTCTAGACGAAATTTCTCCAACAAAGTGTTTTTTTGAAGCGAAAGAGAAATGGAAACAATGGAGTTCTCTTTTTTTTTTTTTCAAGGAATGCATGGTAAATTTGCGTCAAGTTCATTTTTAGATGCAAACAATAGACCTTTTTTTCCTTTTATTGAAAATAGAAAAGTCATTTGAATTTTGTTTTTGCACTTTGACACACCAAGCAATTTTCGTTTTACTTCGCGCGCTGTCAGATACACAAAAAAACACTACATCGTTTAAAAAATGAAAAACGAAGCAATTTTCAATTGCAGAAACTCGGCACAATGAACTGCGTGCGTATATGTTCGCTTTTCTGGTAAACAAAGATCTCATTCCATGATCTCTCCCTCTCCCGTACAACATCCCATTTTCTTTCTTAGAGATGCATTTATCTCGAATCTGTACGACAAAACGCACATCAGTGTATATGTGGTGTGTGTGTGTGTTTTCAAAGATCAACAAATCTCAGATGAACAAATCCATTGAAATCAATTCGGTTCTGGTTGTTGTTGTTTATGTGCAGGTAAATTGTGTGTAGTATACGGAACACAAAAAATTGAGAAAGATAAAACAGAAACCCCGCTTAGTATTTTTTTTCTCTCTCTCTCTTTTGAGTCCTCTATGCATCGTTTTGTTGTTGTGCAAAACGAAATCGGGCACAAAAAGCAGCAGCAAAAGCAATATACAATATACAACTTGGATCATAATCCGAAAATAAAACAAGTTCTTTTACTATTCGAGAATATAAAATTCATAGTAAATAATAATGCGTAGTATTTTTGGGAGTAACGCAGAATGAAAAAAAAAAAACATTTATAATAATGGAAATGACGACGAAGAGAAAAAACTGAATTGGAATCATTGATTTAGAACAAATGCATGAATAAGAAAAAAAAATATTGAAAACGCTTTTTTGGAAGCAGCACACACAATGGTTTGAAAGAATATTGATTTTTTTTTCTGACTGTCAACGTAGAAACAAAAAAAAACACGTCGATTCGATTGAATAACAAAAAAAAACTGTTGAACGCTTGAGAATGAGAAAAAAACGCGTCAGCAGAGCGCTAACAATGATCTAGAAAGCAAAAGTGTGGCCTTTGTCATGTTTGTGATTTCACTTTTTTATCGTTCGATTTTTTTTCTCTCTTCCTTTCGAAAATATTGAATATCACGTTGTTGGCACAAAACGATAAATCACTTGGAAATTTTCGTAAACTAAAATTCGATAAAAAAAAGCAATGAAAAAAGTGTGGATGTGAATATTTACCTAATGCGCATTGACGACATGTGATAGTGTGTTTGGTAGCCTGGCAATAATTGTCTATTGCGTTTGTTGCCACCAGGAAATCGCATCCAAAAGTTCTTCTTCGTCGTGATTGATGGTATCGTTGTAATCGTATGTTTGGTATTTGTATGTGGTCGGTGGCAGGACGTAGCTGGAGTTTCCAACCGATGAATTGTCGGATGAGTAGGAAGGTGTTGGCGATGCAGATGATTCGGAGCACGGTGGTGGTGGTTGAATGGTGCACTGCAATGCTGGGCTCGGTGAATAGTACGAATTATTTGAAACGGATGATGCGGTTGAACTTGTTGATGCCAGCGAATCCATTTCGCCGTCATCTAACAATCCTTGCAAACGACGAATATATTCAACGGCCATTTTCAATGTATCGACTTTGCTCAATTTTTTGCTCGCACCACGGCCACCGTTCGTTAGCTGTCCGACCACATCGGATGGAATATGCTGGCGCAAATTGTTGAAGCCCATGTTGACTTGTTTCACACGGTTACGTTCGCGAGCATTTCGACGTTGAACGGAAGCTGGTTGAGTTGCTGCGTATGCCATATGGGCATATGTCATCTTGGCTTTTTTACTGGCGCTCATTGTGCTGCTGACACGGTTCATTTGATTCTGTTCGGCGATTGATGGTGGTGCCGGTGCGATTGGTCGTTTGCTTTGCATTTTTGCCATTTGAACCGTTTGCATTTGCGGATGTTGATGCAAATGTTGATGGCTAATTTGTTGTGGTGGATGCTGTGGCATCAACGTTTGTTGATATTGTTGCTGGACGTATGCGTTTTGGTGGTGGTGCATCATTTTGTCGATTGTTTTTTTTTTTTATTTCTCTTTACCACTTCAGAAAAAAAAATCAGAATAAAACACTTAAATTGTTCACGAATGAAAACTTTTCTATAAATCTCCAATGAAATCTCAGCCGAAATTCAATCAAATCGCTTTGCAAATGTATGATCAGTCGATGTCACTTTGCTCTTTCAAAGCTTTTTCGTGTGCGTGTTGATATCTTTAACTAAAACACTTTACGATTTTTTTTTTTATGTTCGTCAAATCAAGTCGTGAGAAAAATCAAGAGAAAATGAAAAGAGCGAACAGTGCGTAATGTTAACTTGTCGAGAGTTATCCACGGAATGAAACCCTTCGTCGCAAGACCATCGGTTATGTACTATCGCTTTGTACCTGCTGTAGCCTGTAAAATTCGGTTCTATTCGGTGCGTACGGTGAATGTGTGTCGATATGTGTAGCATTGCAATACAGATCAAAAACGCTCCTTTTTCTATCTTATGCTTTACGACTTCTTTCTCCCCACTCCCAACTGGAATGGTCGGTATCACGTGCACGGCAGTAGCAGTACACTGAACTGAAATTCGATCAAACGAAGGAACGGACGAATGGAGAAGAGATTCAAAAGAGAAGAATTATGTTCAACTGCCTGTTGACTGCTGTGTGTGCAATACGAACGCAAGAATCGAGTCCCCTCCAAAAAAAAAAAGAGTCGTTGTTCGTATTTTCCCTTTTATCCACTTCGTATCCTATGCACGATCGTTTCAGTTGTGTTGCGTCGCACACACGCAGCAGCATCAGGCTCACAAGCACGGACCTTCGAATCAGTTCTTCAGCACATTCAACACAGGTAGTTTATTATTGTTGTTTCGAACGATCGTAAAACGAACACCAAGCGGATCGGCACCGAGTTCACATTGTACATTTGGATGGTAAATGCGCACATGCGCCTCTGCGCTTGTGCAGCTCACTCAACGCACTCGCCGATCAATGAAAATGTGGCATGGTGAGTACGGCGTGTGTCGGATAAATGTAAAAGCGCGTGCCAAGAAAAAAAATCCGCTTGGCGCATAAAATGTATACGGGTAAAAGGCACAGAAGCGTGCAACTTGATGATGATGATGACGATGATGATGGCAACGGTTTGAGTAGAGAGAAGATGATGAAGAAAAAAACAGACGCAAGCTGCAACTGTTCCGTGCTATGGGTACGCACTGCATTCTGAATGTTCGCTCTCTATCTCTCTCGACGAATGCACAGATTGAAGGAGAAATCATGGATTTTGATTGTGCGGGTGCATACACACAGTACACCAATACCAATACCAATACAAATACATTTCCAAGCAGATGCAAACGGGAAAAATATTCATTTATGACAAGTCCTCGCTTATGCCAAACAACGATAGAAAAAGCGAGATATCAAATCATTTCTCATTTAGAACGTTCTTCTTTGGGCAGCTGGAAAAATACCAATACTAACGCATCATGTAAGATTGAATCTTTGGATGCATATTCGAAACGATCGTTTCTTTTCCCTTCTCAATGGTTCGATTCAACTGATGCATTCTTCAGTACAAGTTCAATCTGCAAGCAGTGCACAACAGAATGAATGTATTTCTTCCACTTTGATTCGATGAATTTTACGTAATTTTTTACGTTTCACATGAGACACGATCATTCACCATGAAATGCTATGAAACATTGAAAACGACTGAAAATTTGAATCTGAACTGAAAAATCATATTTTTTCAGATTACAAAAAAAGTTGAATTCTAATTATTACCTTTGAAAAAACTCCATTAGAAAATCCTTTTGTTCATATTCGCTGATTTGGAGTGAATTTTTATTGCTTTTTCAGTGTCCCAATTTGAATTTCAAACTAGGGTTCATTTGCAGTATCCGTAAATTTAGTAATTATAAAACGATAAATAAGGGCAACTTTATTTTTTATGTTAATGCATCGACAACAACAGCAGCAGCAAAAAAAACAATGTTTACGCAGTTTTGAGCGCAGGTGTGTCGATCGTGCGCTTATATGTTTGGGTGCACTCATTTCGACTCTGAATATTTTATGTTTTATGGCACTGTATCAATTAATTTCCGAAAATGCACTGTTTTTCATTTAGTTCCTTCATACCTCAATGATCTTGTCCAGTCGATTCGTTTTTAACTGTTATGAGGGGTTGGTAAAGTAAGTAAGAACGCAGGTCGGTTGTTATCATTGGTTACACGATCTAATTTATTTTCATTAAATTGGAACTTGACGATGACGATGACGGCAAGCTCGACTGCGTTCACTCATTTTCGGCTTTTTTTCGCACTTAAACCGTGAACTCACTTCCGTTCAAAGGGAGGAAAAACCGAATGTTAAAGCGTAACAACAATTTTATGCTACTGAAATGCGACCAAGCCCAAAGGATTTCGACTGTGTTTTTCCATTCAAAGGTCATAGTGTCCTTTTTCATTATGCATACGATATTGTCCAGCGCACTGGTATATTCATGAATATATGTAAAAATGTTTCAGGCAACCGTATCGCCGGAATTTGGGACAAAAAATAAAAATGCTTTGAACCATGATCCTTCGTTCGAAATGGTGCATGCATCAAAGGAACAGAAAAAATGCAAGCGAAATCGACGGGCCGTAAAAAAAAAACTCAATTTGAATCCGATGAATTGAAAAAAACAAAAAACATAAATTCCTGTTTGAAAATTGCTTGGAAAGTAACAGTTTATAAATTTCTGTTACGAATGTGATGCAAATGGCATATATTGTTTCAACCCTTGGTTCAACAACTAAAAACGATAATGCAAATGAAATACGTATGTAGACATTTCTTTAAATAACGCAAAATTCATGGAAAAATGCGCAATTCCGATCTACTTTTCGATGCTAAAAATGAACGCCGTATTATATTCTTTTACTTCGTTCATTTCTTCCAATTCCGAAAATAAACGAGAGACGTGCGTTAAAAATGAAAAATCCTTTCCTTTTCAAGAAGACTGTGTAATTGGTTTCTAGTTGGTGAACGAGCGCAGCAGCAAAAAAAACGGCGAATAATTGAAAAATCACAACGAAATATTGACAGCGTAATGGCGTGAACTTTGTTTGACCCGAGACTTAAGTTTCATTTAATAGTGCGTAATCATGTTTGGCCGCAAGTCGTTCGTTTTATTTTGCATTGGAAAACAAACAATACACAGCGTTTTTTTTTCGGGCCGTGTGCATTTCACCATAAATACACAGAGAGAGAAAAAAAATGCGTGAACGAACGAGTCGAGAAAAAAACAGTTGAGTGCTACTGTCGCCCAACAATCAAAATGCATTGGTTCTTGTTTGCTGTTCATGTTTTCACACCCAATGTGCCCTGCGCTTCGTTGCACTCAACACACACACACACACACACCAACACACGTGTGTACATTTGCACGCTGTGGCGAGTGTAAAAGCAATTTGTATTTTAAACTTGATAATAAGATTATTGTTATTATTTCAATTTAAATTATATTATATGGCATGCGCAGCGCTTGATCGTGACCTCCTACTCACTGGCCGCATCGATTATGTTGTTGCTGTTGTTTCTACTGTTGCTCGGAGTGGATGCTCACTGCAATTCAATAAGTTACACACAACGCATCAATATATCAAAGTACCGAGACTCTTTTGCCGATGCCGCAATACTCATGAACATTTACCGTAAAAGTGAAAAAAAAAACGATACAGAGCAAGTGCGCGTCTTTAGAAATGCAGTCGAAAATCGTGCACAATCAATATTACGTTACCATCATGCACCGATTTGTTTCCACACTATCCATTACAATGCAAGGCATGTTTCCATATTAAAACACACACTTAAACACATGTTTTGACCATATTTGCCGTGAATTTACAAAGTGGAGGAGAGAGCCATCCAGCCAACGTGCACGCGCGCGCGCCACCATCGATAATAATGTGTGTACGCAATTACATGCACTTACATGCATCGCATCGAGCAATTGCAGTTCACAGTCCATTCTACTTCATTCAAACGTCGTGAACGCAGTGAGAAAGAGCAAGCTCCAAAAGAGTAAAAAAGTCTCAACTATTGTTGTTTGTTTTTCGAACTGGCCACGGTCATTATTATGCGGTGTGTTCCGTTCTGCTGGCAACAAACATACATTTTACTTTCGTTTCAATTCGTTTTTTTTCTTCTTTCATTACATTCTCTGTGTCTTGCTTTGACTCATTGTGTTGTTACTTCTTCCTTTCCGTTCAACGATTTTCAAACAAATGAAAAAAAAATATTCTGAAAAATTCTCGCTTTATTCCCTCGCTTCGTTCATTCTTCCCATCGCCAACAAACGCCAATGAATCGGACTGCATGCATAATTGTCTCTTGGTATAGAAGTGTCGAGGTTATGCATTTTGTTTGTTCAGTGAATAGCGCTTGCAATGTCAATATTTACTCAACACAAAATGAACAATTCTTACTGTTTTGTTCGTAGCAGCGCGAGCGCCTTTCTTCGTACTGGACGCCTTTCATAAATTGCTTGATCTGTAAATAGCAAACATATTCCATAAACAACGGTCATGTATTGTTGGTGTTTTACGTGGTAATAATTTAACGCTTTGTTTGTGGAATTCATTCGGTTCGGCACGCGTTCGAATAGTTTACACAGCGATAAAATTAGATTTGAATATCGTCTGTAGCGCACGTTCATTTTGTACTTCTGTGTTCATGTCTTATGAACATGACCTACGATCACTTTACACTTCTCCCTCGTCATATTATGCTCTGGAGAACACTCCATGTGCGTTGTACGAGTTCAAAGAAGAAAACTGAGTCGTAGGTTTTGTGTGTCGAATAGAACTAGTTTAATAGTTAATAGGTAATAAAAGTAACTGAAACGAAGGTCACACATTCTTGTGCATCTGATTTCAAGTGCGTCGTTTCAATTCAATGTTTTGATGGAATACGAAACAGGCCGTTATTTTCCCTTCTACAGTTATTTTAGATAGGAACGATTAGATAGAATTCGGAATGATTCTCGGAACAATTCGGTAATTGAGTAGAGAATTGAGGTAAACAACGTCTAACTAGGTTTAATTAAAGAAAAACACTTCTTTGAAGTTTTTTTTTCTCTTTATGCATTCAATAGGAATGTTTATATACTTTTTTCGGTTTTTCTTCATGTTTCGGTTTTGATATGGAACAGCTGATCACATTCGCGATTAACTAACGAACCTGAAAAAATTGGACACTTATATAGGACACCATATACATACGGTCGAATACCGCTGGATCATTATAAAATTTGATAAAAACACCCACCATGACAGAAAACGACGCCGAGCGGCTAGCTCTTG